GGGGTGTTACAGAGGGAGTACCCTTTTTTCCTTTAATATTATGTTTGAGTAGCAACTTGAAAGAGAAAATGAAGCGGATGGAAAAAAGTGGAAGAGGGGAAGGAAAGGGAGGGAGGAGATATGGAGCTTCACTTCCCTCCATATTAGTTGAAGACGGAGGAAAAATGGATCACATCTCTTTATCCAAACAAAGGGATATGTTCCCTTTCTTCTCCCTTTCCTCCCTTACTCTCTAATTTCTTTTTATCCAAACAATATTAATGGCCTATTCTCATTGACTAAACTCAGCTGAATTGAACTGAACTGAGCTGAACTGATCCGAATTGAACTGAACTGAATATTTTATAAGAGAAGGAAATTAGGAGCTGAACTGAACTGAATTTCAACTTATGAGAACAGGCCCTAAGAGTCGAAGTTCATATAAATGAGTTGAATAAATAAATTTTGCAAGACTAAAATATCAGTTCCAAAGAAAAAGTAAGAGGAATGCATGTATATGTTAGTACACATCAATCCGTTTTATACTATTCGTAACATGCACTTTGATTATTACACATGTCAATGCACAACTTTGACCATTAATATTTGTAATTATATATTATTAAAAACAATAGAAGGTTAATATAATGAAAATATACTTAAAAACCTAATCTAAAATATTTTACATGGAATTATATTGTTTTTGTTTGTTTGTTTTTTTTTTTTTTTTTTTTTTTTTTTTTTTTTTGTGAAAAACTACCTTTTAAAAAAAAATGTTGTAAATGACTACCTCTTTTTTAAAAAATGTTGTAAGGGACTACCACTTGCCGGAATCTAGCCGTTGACTCACTTTTCCGGCGTTGACTAGACCATGTGGCGGCCTTTTTCCCATTTTCAACCACCCCCACCCTCTCCTCCTCCTCCCTTTTCTAGTTTTCGACCACTCTTACCCCCTCGCCGTCACCTCCACCTTAGTCCCGCCCAAATACTCCATCTAACGGCGACGCAACCACCATTTCCGCCATTACTGCAACTCCAATCTATTGGACAAGCTCCCAATTCTTCAATTCAAAGACAAAATCGTTGAAATAGTCAAGAACAAACTCGTCACTGTCATAATCGGAGAAACTAGTTCCGACAAAAGTACCCAACTTTCCCGAATCCTCTTCCGACATGGTTTTGCAGAATTTGGCACCATTTGCGTCAAACAACCTCGCCGTGACGCCATCGTCTCCATCGCACGCTGCGTCGCCCAAGAAACGACGGGGGTCCAACTTGGGGAAGAAGTTGGGTACGCAATTTGATTCAAAGATCGAACTTCAACAAAACCCCCTCGAATTGAAAACCAGAACCCTTCTCTTCCTTTCCTCAATTGAGAAAGTTATTGATGTTGCTGTTTGAGGGTCACAAAATTGCGGGGCGATTGAGGGTTTGTGTTGGACTCAACGGGGTGGAGGCGGTTTCAAGTGGGGTTGGGTTGGTTTTGGGATGCGTGGCGGTGGCTGTAAGGGAGTTTTGTGGTGGGTTGAGGTGGTGTGGTGGTGGAGTGGTGGGGCGGTGGAGAAGATGACGACAAGTCGGCAATGCTGGCGGTGCATACATAGAAAAAAAAAAGAAAAAAAATTAAAGGCCATGTGACTGGCACGTGGGTGGTCAACGCCGGAAAAGTGAATCAACGGCCAGATTCCTGCAAGTGGTAGTCCCTTACAAATTTTTTTTTAAAGAGGTAGTCATTTACAACAATTTTTTTAAAAGGTAGTTTTTCACAAAAAGTTGTATGTAAAAGGTAGTTTTTCACAAAAAATCCTTTTTTTTAAATGTATAGTGTAAAAATCAAAGTATTGCGATTATTACGAAACAGATAGAACGATTGATTATTAAGTTTGTAAGAATGTATATTTACTCTGTACTTTTGTAGATCTTTAATCTATAATATACGGAGTGCTTCATATAATAAATACTACCTCCGTTACATATTAGTTGCAACTTTGGAATATTTTATCTCTCACAAATAATACCCAAAGTTGCAACTAATATATAACGGAGGTAGTAATTTACTACACATTAAAAAGCGTTCTTCATAATGTATATGTACTCCGTACCATGAGACACTAGTCTTTTGTAGAGTTGTATTACAAACATACCGCATCATGGACTATATGGTCATCATCATGACATTGTACTTCATGAAAAATCTAGTAAATACAAATTTATGAAAGCATTTATCTAATGATATTTTTGTAAAAAAATCAGCAACTTTTTATTAAATGTTGGCTCAATTATGTTAATTTATTTACAAAAAATTCATACCGACTTAAATTTTATGTTGATATATTTATAGATTTGTCACTAGATAAACATTTTTTAATTTATCATAAAGATAAACAAAAGCTTTTTCTAAAAAACCATACAATTGCATGAGTAATATACTTGTTACTTAGTTAGGGCCTATTCTCATAAACTGAACTCAGCTGAACTGAACTAAACTGAATGAAATTAGGAGCTGAATTGAATTGAATTGAAAATAAATGTACGAGAACAGATCCTTAATGGTCTAAACTCTAAAGTTAGAGGTAGTCAACTAAACTGAGTTTCTCGTTTGTATAAAATGAAAGGAAAGGCTACATGACAGACCATCTCCTACCTTGTCACTTCACTACTGTTAGAGAGAGAAAACCAACGAGTAAAAGAGACGCATAATATAGGGAAGAAAATTGCAGTGCCTTTCTTTCAAACAAGTAAATTTCTACAAACTATTGTTGGTAAATTTAAGGGAAATTATTTGCTTAATTATCAAACTGCATGTATGATAACGTGATAATTATGATGATATATTTATTTTTTCATTTTGAAAAAATGATGATTATGATGATACTCTTGCACATACTTAGTGTTGATCGAAATTTGTGCTCAATTGTTGCGAAAAAAGGTTTTTATTTGTTTATTGTACTTCAATGGATTTAAGTAATTTAAATTCTACACATTGTTCCTCAAGTTTTTTGGAAAATGATTTTAGCACACTATTTGTTTTTTTTTTTAATTGAATTTTTGGTATAGGGAGAGTCATAATGAAAATGATAATAGACGAAATTTGATCAAAAGAATACCAGTTTTAATATTGTATTTTAACTAAGCAAGTTGGCATCGAGACTAAGTAGAGTTATAAAAAATGTGTTCTTGAAGTACAGTGTTGTTATTTATTTTTATATTTTGAGGTTGTTTATTTTCTTTATTTTACTGATATTTTTATATTGTGTTCAATTATCTTAAGTTTTAGGTGACCTTTTAAAATTAGTTTTACTAATATTCTTTTCTCACACTATTTTGAAATGGTGATTTTAAAATTTTGAAGAAAATTCCGTTTTAATCAAACTTTAAATTGGGTTATTTATAAAAAAGATGACTTAAACTTGTGATTAATATTCATGTTAAATTTTCCAGATAGATAGTTATAACTAATTCAAAGTTAATGTGACAATTAGTCTATAATCAGATCAGATCTTGTCTTTTTATTTGCATTTAGATTTCCCTTGTCAAATATCTTTTATTCCATTATAAATTACTATCTCCAATTCATATTATTTGCAAGAATTGCAACTATAAGACACTTTCTACTCACATTTTATGTTAAATCGTTGTAAATAATATGATAAAATTTCGTATGTGAAATTACATATTAATATGAATCTAATGATATCTCCTTTGATACTCTGTATGTTTTTATTTTAAGGATTAGTGTTACAAAATACAAATAAGGTCAAAGTTAGGTTAATTTTGAAAATTTAATCAGATCATAATGGATTAGATCAGACTAGATCATATTATGTAAACATCCTTCGTTGTAGACTTGTAGATGGATCGGAGGGAGTATAAAATTAAAGTTAATACTTAGATGCTCATAAATGGCATTGTGACATAACAAATACTCTTGAATATCGAGCAGTAATGAATTAGATTATTGATTTTAGGCAATGATTAAATAATATGGATAGCAAAGCAAAATATAATGGACTAGTGTAGTAGTGTAAAGAATGAAGAACAATTTGAAGCTGTGTTCATATTATTAGTGGGGAAAATTGAGTTATCTTTAAATCAAAATTCTGTTTATTTTTTTAGTTTTCTGATTAGTGGGACAATTTTATGCTGTGTTCGATTAGTGGGACGATTATATTTGTTACTAGTGCATGGAAATATAGCTCAATGATACTGTCCTTATAGCTGGTGTTTTGTTTACAGGAATTTACAGGTCTTCTAAAGAAAACTGCAATCATGTCCTCAACTTCAGCAAGTCTTTGGGATGTGCCAGTGCCACGAAGGCCCCGTTCTTTGCTTCTTCGTTGCAAAAGACGCCTCATTTTTGATGATGACACACCCTTGATCAGCAAAAAAAGTCGAGCTGATGTAGTAGTATTGGTGCCACAAATGACTGTGGCTGGCGATGGTTCAAGTGCACACAAGTGCCTGAAAAATTTACCAGTTCCTAGTATGTAAACTTTCCTTTGGGTGTTTATTTTAATAAAACTTATAATGGACTAATGGAGTGACCTATATTGAAACCTTCTTTTTTGGTAAAAAGATGACATGGAAGTATGCTACTGATCTTATAGTTCAATATAACATGGCATTAGCAATTTAGCATATAGTACTTTGTATACGCGTACATTTTACACTCAGTAGCTTGCTTCAAGCATGTGTGAATTAAATATAAGAGGGACTAAAAAGCTGGATATAAACACAAGGACTAACATTACATAAAGCATGGTTTGATGAATATACTATTGTGGTTTTGGCTTTTCATTTCATTTTCCGGCAGTAATTAGGTAATACTTTCAAGCAAGAGCTTTGGCAGAATTTGACGTGTTCTGGTTTTCATGATGGATTAAGGTTTACAAATTACAACAGACCGGGATTATATTTTTGTAAAACAATAATCAGAATCCACAACAAATCAGGAACAAACCTTTTATTCTCCCATCTCTTCTTCTGAAATAATTGCTTGATCATTTAAACACTAGTATATGATGTCTTCTAGGCTTCTAGCTACTGGTAATTGTAGTCAAGTAAGTGTATTGCTTAATATCGAGCTGCTACCTCTTTCTTTGGCGACTCATAAAGGAATGACGTATTTTCCAAAACATAATATAATGTATTTGTGATGTTGTAGATTATAGTATAGAATGTAGTTATTCAGTAACCTTATATACCTTAGTAGTATTTTTCAACTGAAAGAATGCATGATGTATATGTATAAAATGGGATTGATTGAAAAAGTGTTTTACAGGAACTTTAAACAATGAGGAGCAAGATGAGTCAAAGGATGAAGAATGCATTAGTAAGTCTGCAGTGGTTGGGCCACAGACGCCATTGCCTTCGATGAAAAAGCGTGTTTCACGTAGAGGAGGCTCCCTGACCAACAAACAAAGCCGATCAATATCAAAAGCTGTGATTAATCTCGAGGAAGATAAGTTACGAAAAATTTCAGAATTAGCTGAGAAATCAGTCTATTTCACCCGCTCAATCAATCAACAAGTGTCGAATGCATTTAAATTGGTTGAAGTTCAAGGAGCGAGTAGTAAAAGTGCTCAACTGAAAGGGCATGGCCGAAGGGTCTCTATTGATGGTAAGAAAAGGCCATATCAGAAAAACTTCAAGGAGACAAACAGAGCATGGAAAGAGTTACTGAAGAAAGCTATTGCTGAAAGTTGCGAGATATTGATGGAAAAAGATGAGAGTGTTTTAGTGGATGATGAATTGCAGCTTTTCCATGAAAAGGTGCATTCATTCGCAAGTAAAGTTGGCACCATTCAGGGTGAGTGATTACATTTTAGAATTTTAATTTTACTGCTTGATGTTATTCTTTCATCAGTAAAGCTTTTTATAACAAGATGCTGATATACGATAGTGTAGTAAGCATTAATTAGCTGTTCTGCTTACCACCAAATACTTCTTGTAATGCAATGTCAGCGTTTCTTACTTACTTTTAACACAGGGAAAAGAGTATACTTTCCATGGAAAGGATCAGTTTTGGACTCGGTTATTGGTGCATTTTTGAGTCAGAGGGTCAGTGACAACTATTCGAGGTATGCTTATATTTAACTGTACTTTCAGAAACCAATGTGAAGATGGGTGGCAGCACTAACCTTTTAAATTCTCAATGCAGTTCGGCTTTTATGTCACTTGGTGTGAGCTTTCCCCAGTATCGTGATTGTGATACTTATAGCCGGCACCATAGAATGCTGAGAGAAAAGAGATCAATAGGTGGCTTTTCTTGCCAAAAGCAGGATTTGAAGGGGGGACATTTAAAGTTGGGGCCTGAAAGCCAGAAACCATTAGATGAGAAGAAAAAGGAGACCTTGAGAAAAGGAAAGGCTGCAATTATGGAAAAAATTAAGCCTGATTGGGACACCTTGAAGACACAATATTCTAGCAACACGGAGATAGAAAGAAGCATTGATGCATTAGACTATGTTGACTGGCATGCTGTCAGGCGAGCAGATATGGTGGATATATCCAATGCTATTGAATTGAGAGGCATGAACAAGAAACTAGCTAAGCGCATCAAGGTATGTTAATTTAGTTCTTAAAATACCTGAGTTTTTATTTATCAGAAAAGTAACTATATAAATGTCTACTTCTGTTATTAGTGCAAGTTAATGGAATAACTATTAAAAAAAAAAGGTTAATGGAATAATAATTGTAACAATGTAGGAGTTTCTGGACCGACTATTGATGGATCATGGAAATTTGGATCTTGAATGGGTACGGAATGTCCCCCCTCATCAAGCAAAGTAAGCATAACTGCCACTTATTGGTGCATAACCTCTCTGAAACTTTCTTATGCTGTTGTTTTAGTACTGCTTGCTCACAAATTTCTTATTTATAGGGAGTTTCTTCTAAGCATATACGGATTGGGGCTGAAGAGTGCACATTGTGTCCAACTTTTAACACTCAAACAACCTGCATTTCCTGTAATGATTTATACAAATTTATTGATTCTTATAATGAAGATAATTTTGGACAGGATCATTTTATGAACATTGATTATGAATTTGATGACATTTTTTTACTTTTTTTTATCAAGGTTGATGTAAATGTTGCTCGTGTGACAGTGCGTCTGGGGTGGGTTCCAGCCCCACCAAATACTTGTGATTTGCTTCAGATGTCTGTTTTGGAAGAGTAAGCGTGCTCTGCTCTTATTTCTTTGTTGAAACACCACTGATTTCTCTGATAACAAACTGTAAATGTTCTACTTGTAGGGATTCAAAGCTGCATGAATTGATTAATCATTATCTTTTTCCACGGTTATGCAAACTTGACCCAAAGACCTTGTAAGATTTTCTTAACTATCAATTTCGTGTGCAAATAGACTCAATACTTTCTTATACTTTATGCTTATTTGTCTTTAGGTACGAACTTCATTATCACATGATTACATTTGGGAAGGTAATTTTAGTAACTTGTGTTATTGAACTTGTAGATTTCTTATTCACTTGTATATAATGTGTTGAAGTAACTGTGGCTTTTTTATGCTTAGCACAGGTCTTCTGCACAAAGCAGAAGCCTAGCTGTACTGAATGTCCCATGAGAAACGAGTGCAAGTATTATGCTGAAATCAACATAGAAGACATTGGTGTCATTAGTCGGGCTAAGACTCAAAATAAGTCTGTGAAAGTTAAGCAGCAAGTGTTGAAATCAAAAAATGAAAAACAGAAAGGTCTGGTAAACGATCATGAACAGTTCTACCATGAAGGTAATGTTGAAGCTCCTAAAACTCCAGTGAAAGATCAACCACCCCGGAAAATGAGACAGAAAGGACAATATCACTCAAAAACTACTTCTTTAGTTGGAAAACAACCCAAAAAAATCCGAACAAGAACACAACACTTTGTGTAGGTGGTTTGAAACTCTCATTTACCTTAAAACACACAAATCATCCTATGTGATGATCTTTTCTAACTAATTGAATCATCAATGCAGCTATGAACTTCCAGATTGGCATCCAATATTAGAACAGGTGAGTGACCGTACCTTGTTTGGCAATTTGCAAGCTATGATTATAGGCAACATGTTTAATTATGTCATCATGACTGTTAAATGCAATGTTATAGTTTGATGACCGGGACCCTAATGATCCATCGCCATACCTTTTTATTACATGGGAATCAGGTATGTCAACTTGTTTAAATATTTAATCCTAGACAAAAATGACAGATTTAAGTGCTAATTGCATGACTTTGATATATCAGTAACTCCGTTGGCCAATAGTATGCTGTCTGCGGGTGTTAGCCACATAGCAGAGTCTCAGACAGTACTGGGAACAGTTATGGTAAGAGAGATGCTAGCTAATGATTTATAAATTAAAACCTGGTTATATAAACAAGTTTGTGTTTCTAAAACTTACATATAAACCCACAGATCCCATGCAGAACAGCGTTGAGGGGCTCCTTTCCGCTAAATGGAACATATTTTCAGATAAATGAGGTGCAGTCATTGGAAGTTTGTAAAGATTTTTAGCAGCAAATTTTCACCTACCTAAGTGGAATTCTGATGTGTTGTTTAGGTTTTCGCTGATCAGAAGACCAGCCAAATGCCAATAGATGTTCGCTGCAAGACATTGCAGCAACTCCCGAGGAAGATACTGTATTGTGGAAAAGATTTATCAAATATTGTCAAAGGTGAAACATGCTTGATTCTGTGATCTGTTTCATAAGGCAACTGCCTGGATGAATGACCCCTTTATAATTAGCCTGTTTGATGACTTGGTTTATCTATAATGTCCTGCATAGAAGTAAATAATTTATATCATACGAACTGTAATTAGAAGGTATACCATTATTTGTTCATCAATGGCATCCCAAATTGGGTGTGGGATGGAGAATTCAATGTAAGAACTTGAATCAAATGGCTAATTGAAAGCGTTGTCTTGTCAGGTTTATCAGCGGATGAGGTCAAGAGCCTTTTCAATGAAGGTGCATTGCATGTTCTTATGGTTTATTGGGAAATTGCATTTTAATAATGTATTCTGTCTGATGTTTTTGGAATGTTTCAGGTTATATTTGCACTAGGGGTTTTGACAGAGAAACATTAGCTCCTGTTACTTTAGAAAGGCGATTGCATGCGTTATCCAAGAGTAAAAGGCGAAATTAGGAAGCAGCAATGGTGTACAGTGCTGCATAATCCTGGTAAAGTGCGACCAAATTTTTGTACTTGTAATTTTGGTATCATTGTTCAATGCATCTGAAGACCAGGGATTACATTTTTGCAAGTGTGAGGGTTACAGTACCAAAGAATTTCATTGATCAAATATGGTTTGCTGCTCTTTAATAATGAGGTAACATAACAACGAGGGAAGTAAGCAAAAGTATAGAAATGTTTAAAATTTCAGATGTATGTAAATCCTTACAATTGTATCACTTAACTTTCATACTTTTCCCTTCAAAATTAATGGAAAAAAAAAGTGGAAAAATGAGAATATCAATATTACTCCTATGAAATTCAATAGTTTTCCTTATTAGACTAACCAACAGTTATAAGAAGGGAGGGGGTGGGAGGGATGTACATAGGTAAGATAATACGGAGTATGGTATATAATGCCTCCTAAAGTAGTTTTATTGTATATATAGTTTTTTTGTATTGATAAGTGTCCTTCCAAACTAAGAGTGCTAAATAAGTCATTGGTAGCAACTATGTTACAATGTGGTAATATGGATAAGCAAGTCGTCGAACACTAAGTCATCAGTGTGATCACTGCAGCTTAGTCAAGAACATGCAAGCGTGAGCCTACTACAGGCCTATAGCTTTACTCGAGGACAAACAACGATGAGGGTGATAGGACTATATCTAAAATGAATTAAGGTTGAAATAATTATGACTAAAAGATAGCCTTCCTAGCAATGGCATGGCCATGAATACAATCTCACAAGCTTAAATCCAGTAGATCTCAACACAATTATATTTTTTATAAAAAAAATCTTAAAATGTGCATCACACAAGCTTAAATTAAGTAGATCTTAAAGTTGATTGGCTTGAGGCTCTATGCTTTGGGTTGTATTACGCATGCTCACTATGAATAGCGAGAAGGGAATCCTGCTATTCCTGATGACTCCTGTACCCCTGCAATCAAATTACATATTGTCAGTGTCACATATCAAATTAAGTATTAATTGACGGTAGGTGTAGTGGTGATTGAGACTACACTTGGTAAGGAGAACCCGTGTTCGATCCCCCGCAATAACAATTGGGAGGGGAATGGAATGTAACCACCAAAACTGATCCCGAATCCGAATTAGCCCAAAGGGTGAATCGGGTGAAACTCCAAAAAAAAAAAAACCACATCAAATTAAGTGAATTTCACTTTTTCGGAAAAAAAAGTTGAATTTCACAAAATTCAGAGATTAACCTTTCACATACACCGTACAAAATACTATACACAACCTTAAATCATAAACTAAAACAAAAGCTAATAATTAGGGACTAAACTTTTTTTTTTTTTTTTTTTTTTTTTCACCTTTTGGGACCTGAACTTTTTTCTTTCACCATTTGGGACCTTAGAAATAATTTTAGTTGAAAAAATTAGTTATGGTTAAGTGGTGGGGCTCACTAATTACATTAGGTTCTAATTTATTTGCAAACGAGGATTCTTGTTGGTTTTCTCCAAAAAAATATATTAAGTTAGGCGTTTTTACCCCAAAAAAATAAAATACAGTGCCTTTTCAACTCCTACTCTTCAGTCTTTATCTTTAACCTCCTCTGTTTGTTCTCCCTTTAAAAAAAAAAATAGGTTCATGAATTATCAAGCAAAAATTATTTTGTTTATACAATCGTTTCCGAGCCGGTGTAAAATTGATTTGAAACCATATCCATCCAAAGGCAATTCAACTGCTTGATGGTAACTAATAGAGACCAGTTAATTTATATTGTGCAACTCTCATTTTGCTTGATGATACAATACTAGTAGAATTACCAAGTATAAAGTTTGGCAGCTAGTTTACCACTAGGGATGACATGAAAAGTTAAATTCTCATAATTTAATTATATAGTTTAATGATAAAATTGTGGAATTTTGGAATAATGATATAGTTCAAATGATCAATTGAACTACTTAGTCCTCATAACTTAATTGTGGAATTTTGGAATTTTAATGATATAGTGTAACTAATGAGAAACAGAACAGTGCAGAACAATTATATAGTTTATAAATGATCAAATGAACTACTTAATTCTAGCAAAATTAGTTGTGTCGATCTAAATTGAACAAATCAATTATATAGTTCATGTAATTGATAGTCTATGGATTTTTTAAGTTGTAACTCCACTGACTTGTTATGATGTGAAATTTGGGTTTACCGATTTAAATGACATTTTTTTTTTTGCTTTTGGAAAACTGTTTTTTTTTCCAAGAGGTTTTGTGTGTGGCTGGCCACAAGATGTGGCCAGCTAACACATGACAAAAGTAACCCCATCGACCTGGTAACCCCTCCGACTAAGTAACCCCTCCGACTTAGTAACCCCTGAGTGGATCTAGTAACCCCTAATCAAGTAACCCCCCCTTTAACCTGGTAACCTCTGGCCGAGTAACTCCTCCGACCTAGTAACCCCTGACCTAGTAACCCCTGACCTAGTAACCCCTAATATAGTAACCCTTGACCGACCTAATAACTCCTAACTGATTTAGTAACCCATGACCAAATAACCCCTCCGACCTAGTAACCCCTGACCAAATAACCCCTCCGATCTAGTAAACCCTAATGTTGCACCACCCTTAAACTAACTCCACCACACTGCTCACCCTTAAACTTACTGTTCCACATTTAAACAATTGTTAACTGTTAACCGATTTTTGTTTAAATTTCACATGTTTCTAATTTTTTTCTTGAGCTCACCCCTTTACATTCCACCCAATTTCCAAAAATATTACTTCCTCTGTTCTTTTTTACTTGACATGTTTCTTTTATCACGCTTGCCAATGCAAAACTTTAACGGTTAATAATTTTAATTCTCCATAATTAAAAAATATAAAAAATATATATTATGATAGTACTTATTGAGACGAATTCAAAATGATCCAACATAAATATGTTTTTTCTTACATATTATTCACAAAATACGGTCAAAGGAGGGGTGGTGAATAGTGTAAAAGTCAAAGCGGGTCAAGTAAAAAAGAACGGAGGAAGTAAATAAAACCTTGAACCATGCATCATCTCCTAGACTCCCACATACATCACATCATTTCCACAAGCATCCCATCACCATTTCGAAACCTAGAAAAAGGAATTTGTACCTGATCTATTACACTGAAATTTCGGGGAAATGTTAGGGTTTGGAGCTTTGAGGAGATTTGGGTTGATTTGGAGCTCCGATGATGGCGAAGACGACGACGACGCTGACGGTGAGATGAAGACGACCACTAGATGAAGATTACAATGGAAGTTGGTGCTCCGGTCATTGATGGTTAAAGAGAGAAAGTTAAAAAGAGAAAGTGAGAGGAGAGGAGAGAGAGAGAGGAGATAGAAAACTTTTTTAAAAAAATTTGTGGGCTTTGTGGTTGGTCATACGGTGTAGCTAGTCAAGTATAAAAGTTGGTGTTTGTTTTTAAACTACAATTATTGCGTAGGTTGGTTAGTAAACTTTTTAGATGGATTAAATTGCTTGAGAATTAACCACAGGTCCCAAACAGTGAAAGAAAAAAGTTTAGGTCCCAAAAGATGAAAAGTAAAAAAATCGAGTCCCTAAGTATTAGCTTAACTCCTTAAACAAGTGATTTCAATACAATATAAAACAAAAAAAAAAGGACATTAGTACTTACCAGTTCGACCAATCGCATTGGATCTTTGCACTCCTTATTTGCAGCAGGGAAGAACCTGTCCATGACTTTGAACAACACATTCTTGTTGATTGAAATTATAATCAGAGAACTTGTGATGACGATAATAAGGATGGTTGCCCACAATGACTTCGGAGACATAACGATATAAACTCCAGTCATAAATGCGACTAAGGTGAAGTTGAGTGCCATCCTGAGTAACACCATGCTTCGATCTATCAATATCAACGACTTACTAGGTTCGTAGACCATGGACAATGTGAGACAAATTAGCACCAACATTGAAAAAACCAAGGTTAATGTATCTGATAACAAAAACACAATAAAAGATGGCTTCTTCCCCAAAATTGCTTCACCCGTATCTTGATTGAATCCACCTGGGAGAGTGAATCCAGCAGCGAATGTAATGGTGGTCACTAGAGCCGCTACCACAAACAATGATGTTCGCACATCTAACAGATTTGTCTTATGTTGGAAATATGTTGTTTTTATACTTGGATCAAGTCCGTTTCTTTTGCACATGAGGTCCTGTAATAGCAATTTGTAGTAATTATTGATCATACCATTTCACTCTAAATTAAATTATAATGAACCAATTATGTCTTTTAATAAAGTATTTATATTATTCCTAAGATAAAGTATTTTTATTATGCCTTCTTTGATTAACATTCTTGATCAACATAAATTCTTTTGTGGATCTGATCCATATATATATATATATATATATATTAAAAGCGACTGATGTTATATTAAACATTGTGACCCTAATTTTAACATATATAGTAACCTTATTTTTAGGAAATTTTGTCAGAAAAAACCATTTATAACAACTATTTTGTTGGAAAAAACCTTATAAAATTTTTTTGGCAAGGAGAAACCAAATTGTAAAATATTTTTGTTGAAGACAACCAAGGATCTCTAATCACTCAATTAACCACTAATTTTCCCTTAATTCTTCTAATTACTCATAACTCTAACTTAATATCTTTAATAATTAAGTTGATTTATAAATTAAAAAAAAAAAAAAACCACCACCATCCACCCTCTCCTTCTACCCCTCCCATGGCAGCAGCTGAGCAGCCCCCTCCCCCATCCCCAACCGCCACCTGGAACCCTATCCCCCCGCTGATCAGCCTCTACCACCGAACCGACCCCCTTCCTTTCTCCCCTTTCCTCGTCGTGACCACCCTCCTAAACCCTAACCCAAAAAATTCCACCCAAAGAAACCACCAACACTAGATCTTCTTTGTATTTGTGAATTTTGAAGTTGAAATTAGATGGGTGGAGAGAGATTGCGGCATTTAAGGAGGGATTGTTGAAGATCGAGGAGGGGATTTGATTGCGTATGAAGCGTTTTGGTTGGGGTTTTAGGGTGGTTTTCTGGGTTGTGATTATGGAAGAAGGTAGTATTGGTGGGTGGTTTTCCGGAGGAGGGTATTCGGCGAAGGTAAAGGGAAAAGGGAGGGGGTCGGTTCGGTGGTGGAGGTTGGTTAGCAAGGGTGAGGGGATCCAGGCGGCGGCTGGGGATAGGGGAGGGGGTTGCTTAGCTGCTGCCATGGGAGGGGGAGAAGGAGAGGGTGGATGGTGGTGGTGAGGGTGGTTTTTGTTTTTATTTATTTATTTATTTATTTTATAAATCAACTTAATTATTAAATAGTAAAGAGTTATGAGTAATTAGAAAAATTAAGGAAAAATTAGTGGTTAATTGAATGATTAGAGATTTTAGGTTGTCTTCAACAAAAATATTTTATAATCTGGTTTCTCGTTGCCAAAAAAATTTTATAAGGTTTTTTCCAAAAAAATATTTGTTATAAATGGTTTTTACTGACAAAATTTCTTTTTTTGAACATATTAACCTTTATTATAACTTGCGTGATTTTTAATGATATTGTGAACCTAAAGTACTACGTTATGTTCAACATAATGACTTAATTATTCATATTGATCAGTATAAAAATTTCATTAAAAAAGTTTTGACCACTTATAAATTTTATGATGTCTTATGACTTTTATTTAAACATAATAACCTTTATTTTAATATATCAACCTGTTTTTTTTATTAATCAAACATTCATAATGTCTCTAGTGTTAGTCGTGGTCCACAGTAAATTATTGTGAAACTAGGTCTATTTAAAAATTTGTAATTGACGCAATGGTGTACCGTTGGATATACTCCTCATTTCATTCTAAATATATATATGCAGCTTAACCATGAAAACTAATGAGTGCATGCGCTTGTCAATTGAGAGAAGTTGCAGGAAAAAAAAAAAAAAAAAAAAAAAAAAAAAAAAAAAAAAAAAAAAAACATACCCATGCATCATCTTCCTTGCATAGATGTGCCAGCAGATCCATGGCAGTTACAGCTTGTTTGTCTTTGATGTCATAGATTGTCTTGTCAATGTTGAGCAGTGTTTCAGTCAAGAATATATCTCGTTTTCGAATTGCTGTATGTAAAGGTGTTTCACCTTGGAGATTTTGAACATTGATAAAATCTTTCATGCGTTCAATCTTCAGAAACTCCTCATAATTTGTCAAACGTGGGAGTCGTATATGATGCAGTGGAGAATCCTTAGATTTCATACAAAGTTCTCGAAACGCTCCTACATCGTGGTCAATTAAGGCAGAAAGAGCTGAGACATGACCATTTTTACATGCTTCTATCCAAGCCATGGGTTCATTATCAATCGTGGATGGATCCTTGTGTAGGACTTCTTTTATAAACCATGAACAACCAACTTGAAAGGCTCTTTTCCAAGGTGATTGTCCATTGTTGTCTTTTTGGGTGATGAATTCAGGTGCTTCATTCACAAGCCATTTCCCACACTCTATATCTGTACATTTTCATAATATATGCCATAGAAATAGTTGGAAGAAAAAAGGAACTAACATTACATTAATTTTGAGAAATTGATGGAGTAAAATAAATATACCTTCCAAAAGTAGAGCCGGATGCAAAACATTACAGCCATCAAAGGAATTCTTAAGATATTTGGTCCAACTGCTCTTATCCAATCTCGATAATATTGCTTGGGCAACTTTACCGCAGTTACTCCGTATAGCAAGAAACACAGTATAGTGCTCCGGCTCGTAATAATCTAAAACTTGATGCAAATAAGGAGGCTGGTGTAGTGACAATATATATAATGCAAGGTCCTCATGATGGTTAAGTATTGCCAAGTGTAGAGGTCCGTATAATCTTTCATCCTTCTTAAACCATGGCTGCAAATCGACTTGTTTCAGCCTTCGGTTAGTTGGGTATTGCTCTTTGTAAGCTTCTACTAGAAGTTTTACAACATCGCATCATGGGTGCTACTTGCGGCATAATGTAAAGGATTTGCAACGTCATCGTGCTCAGTTGCATCAATGAGGTTCAAGAAAGACGATCTCCATTTACTCTCTATAAATTTACTCTTAAGTATTAATTCAAATAACCATATTACATTGTCGTATTTTATCCAACTATGTAATACTGTTAATCCTCCTTTGTCTACTTCTGTGAGTAACTCGATATACTCCTCAATCAGCCGTTTACAAAAATCAAATGGTTTTAAAGACAAAAAAAAAATTAGTTCATAACATATAGAGAAAATTGTGAAAAAGGACCTTTTAAGTGGTCGACTTTTTGAAGAATGACCTTTTAAGTTAAAACTTGTGAAAAAAGGACCTTTTAAGTTGCATTTTGTTTATATGGGGTACTTGGGTGAGCTTACGACCTTACATGGTGTTCAATGCCGGAGCTCTGACGTTGACTATCACGTGTTAGTCATGTGACTTTTCTTTTTTTTTTTTCTTTAAAAAAAACCCAAATTTCCCTCCTTTCCCCACCTAACCAATGAAAGAGTTAGGTCGGGAAAGGAGGGAAATTTGGGGTTTTTTTTTTGTTTTTTTAAAAAAAAGTCACGTGACTAACACGTGATAGTCAATGTCGGAGCTCCAACATTAACCACCACGGAAGGTCACCCAAGTATCCCATACAAACAAAATGCAACTTAAAAGGTCCTTTTTCACAAGTTTTCACTTAAGAGGTTCTTTTTCAAAAAGTCGACCAATTAAAAGGTCCTTTTTCACAATTTTCTCTAACATATAAGTATAAAACATAACTAAGGGTCGTTTCTGATTTAATTTACTAAACTAAGCTAAATTTATTGGAAAAATCATGGGATTAGTGATTCAAAGTTAATTGTTGACTTTGCTTAAATTTAGGAATAAGAAGTTAGTGGTTAAGTTTTAGTTCCTAATTATTAGGATAGTAAGTTGCTACGTGAGAATAAGGGGTTATGCATCCCTAATTTGTTTGTTGTGCCTATATAAGGCTTTCATTGTAATTTGATTAAAAATGGATTGAATTTAACTTTTATTATTCTTTCCCTTTTCTCATCTCTATTTATTATTCAAAAAAATTGAACTGAACTGTTTATGAGAGAATTAAATTAGGGACTGAGTTGAACTGAACCAAGTTGAAATTAAGGGCCTATTCTCTTCAGCTTATTTTCACTAGGCGAAAATATGTAATGGCCACTGGTTGAAACCCCCCTATTGCCACCGGTTTTGAACCGGTGGTCATTTGGGGGGTGGCAATAAAGCAACGCAAGGCCACCGGTTCAAAACCGGTGGCAAAAAGCCTTATGGCCACCGGTTAACCGGTGGTAATAATAATTATGGCCACCGGTTAACCGGTGGCAATGTAAATGGCGCGCTTTTTTTTTTGGATTGGAAGACTGACTTTTGCCACCGGTTTTGAACCGATAAACCGGTGGCAATAATAGGGATGTAAATTTTTTTTCTTATTTTTTTTTTCGTTTTTCCTGCAATGATTCCTGCAACTGATCCTGCTATAATATTCTGCCATATTATTGCTATAAATTCTGCCATAATATAATTATTATTAATAATCATAACAAGAATTAAAAATATATATTTAGACATTAATAATTAAAAACCAAATGCAATACAACAAATAAAGTGTGATATACATAAATACAAACAATACTAACTAGTCAATATTGAAGTCTAAAAGTTAATAATTAACAAAGTATAAATTCAAAATGATGTCACATTTACAAATTGAAGGTGATGAAAGATGCCAACATGTCTCAAACTTCATTAAGGTCCTTGCTTGTTAACGGATCTCCCTTTTGCACCTTGCAAAACTTGGAATATATATAAATTATGTTAGAATAAGTTAAATTAGTTAAGTTAAACATGTGAGTAATAAATATGTAAAAAATTAAATACTTAGGTCAAAACGGAGTAAAAGAAGGCCTAAAAGACTTCTACTTGCCCATTTTCTACATTTTTTAACTAATGACCATGCTGTTTCTCATAATATGTCAATTATACTTAGTTATAGGTGGTTAAGCCTTGAAATCAAAGAAAAAGAGCATTTTACTAAGTTTAAGGTCGCATTTTCATCCTAAATAGCCTAAATAAGGCCTAAATGACTTCTACTTGCCCATTTTCTACATTTTTTAAACTAATGACCATGTTATTTCTCATAACATGTCAATTATACTTAGTTATAGGTGGATAAGCCTTGAAATTACAGAAAAAAGCATTTTACTAAGTTTAAGGTCGCATTTTCATCCTAAATAGCCTAAATAAGGCCTAAATGACTCCTACTTGCCCATTTTCTACATTTTTTAACTAATGACCATGTTATTTCTCATAACATGTCAATTATACTTAGTTATAGGTGGCTAAGCCTTGAAATCACATAAAAGAGCATTTTTCTAAGTTTAAGGTCGCATTTTCATCCTAAATAGCCTAAATAAGGCCTAAATGACTTCTACTTGCCCATTTTCTACATTTTTTAACTAATGACCATGTTCTTTCTCATAACATTTCAATTATACTTAGTTATAGGTGGCTAAGCCTTGAAATTACAGAAAAAAGCATTTTACTAAGTTTAAGGTCGCATTTTCATCCTAAATAGCCTAAATAAGGCCTAAATGACTTCTACTTGCCCATTTCTACATTTTTTAACTAATGACCATGTTGTTTCTCATAACATGTCAATTATACTTAGTTATAGGTGGATAAGCCTTGTAATCACGTAAAAAGAGCATTTTACTAAGTTTAAGGTCGTACCTCATCAAGATGTATGGTGTTGGTACAATGAGTCGCTATGTCAAGCATGAATCTCATCACGTATAATCCACAATCAACTCCATTATCTTGTTGTGGGCACTAGCATAGGAACAAATCAAATGAATCAAACGTCACATAAAATCCACAATTGTTTTAGCAATGTTTATTAAGATAATCACAATATGATGTGGCATTACCATAGGTGATTTCCATGTAGGACCCCGTGGAGCACGACCATGTATATTCCTCATAATACTATAGGAAAGTAAATTCAAATTTGATTAGTTTGACTACTAAATGAGTTAGGTTAAGATAATCAACACTAGGTAGCTATATTTACTTTTGTAGTACAGACATCACGAGGTACTTCTTTGTTGATCGAGCTGAATCAAGGTGAAAGATTGTGTTATTAGCAGGACAAATCACCATGAGGAACCAATGAAACCTACATAAATTCACAATACACAAACAAATCAATAATTAGGGTACAACATATAATTCAAATGTAGAAAGAATTGAATTACACATGGTTAAACGTACTCCTCATAACATGGGGCGAATATGAACTTGTCTCCCGCACGCATTGATTCCCTAATACTATGATTAACATAATACATCACCTCGGGGGAGTTGTGTAAGATTCTAGTCTCGGATGTCTGTTCAGGGCATAACTACCCAACTTTACTAGGGGAATCAGTGTCACTTAAGTGCTCCCGTAGTGCTCTGCGTGCATGGACAATGAAAAATTAATTGACATATATATGAAGGATAAAAAACACTAATATGAATAACATAATTAATTTAAGTGGCATATGCCCGCACCTCATGAATATTTGAATGAGAGAAATGTTAAGCATTGAACCTCTTAAAAATTCCTTCACATCTTGTTTGTTTAACCATGCACTTGCATCCTCATCATAATGGAACATTGCCTTAGGAAGTGCAATTTCAATGGGATCGTCACTATGCTAATGACTAAAACGATTGTGTAGAAAAGTTAAATCCTTAGTGAGCGATTGAAGGACATTGTCTCCAACAAGTGGAGTAGGTTGCATGGCTGAACCTTTCGAAGAATTCTTTTTCGACACTTGTTCACTCTTCGACCCTTGTTCACTCATCTTCTTTGTAGGTTAATCAACGCTTTTAGGCTTCTCCACCTTCCTTCTCTTTGATGGTTGCCTTTTTTTCGAAATCTGATCAAACAAAGATAATTAGAGTTCAAAAATTTTTGGCCGGGGGTTAAGCTAGTAAGTACGCATGCAGATATGTTATTTTGCACAACATCAAAATAAATATTACCTCGTTGATCAACCTTACCCAAGCACGTGGCCATTACACATAGCTACCTTTTGCTTCCCAAAGAAGAGTAATCCCATCATCCACTATAGGCACCGGTAGTGGGATGTTTTCAAACCCAGCAATGTAAGAATTGATCTCGACCGAGTAATGTTGTGGCCTAAGAGATTGAAAATGGACCGTATCACCGGTCGTCGCTTGTGCACTACCATACGCCACCAACTGCAACTCTCCTCCATTTGATAGCCCCGGGTCTAGAAGTGTACACTCGGTCTCTACCTACACTAGTAACGAAATTCACTTGTAAAGACAGAAATTATCAAAAAGGGTCTTTTCCTACACAATTGATCATGTAACGAAATTCACTATGTTAAAACCAAACACGCTCCCTCGAATCCTAAATTCACCTCTAAATCTGGAAATTCATGGGGTGTTGGATTATGAACCTCCCTCGAGTCTGCATGTGTGGGAGTAACAACCTGCAATAATTAATCAATAATGCCGCATTAGATCTCACGTAACTCACTAGCTAGGCCAAAACTAATAGATAGAAAATTACCTCATGTATCTCCTCTTCTCCATGTCTCTCATCCTCTCCTTGTCCTTTTGGGTGACTACTTGAGTCGACCGGTGTAGTCGGGGGGAACGACAAGGGTAAGTTCATTTGCTTCGCCCAAGCATTGAATTCACCTATTAACTCATTGCGAACTTGTTCCTTGATGGTGGCATCCAATTCTTCCGGTGAGTTAACACTTGCTCGAGATCTTCCCATTTTTATGTATTATGAACCCATCACCTTCTCCCATCCTAGCAATGTCCCTCCCATACCTACTACCCAGCCTGGATGGTAGGGCTTTCCCAAAGCCAAGGTGAAAGGGTCTTTCTCTATAGTCGGGACTAGCTTGCCTTCAACAACTTCTATAGTGTACTCAAGCTGTAGCATAAGAAAAAATGTTAACATGAATACATATAATGTTTTTGTATGGTAAAGTTATGCTAAAGTTTCAAATAGCTTACAAGTTTATCAGCCACTTTTTTTTCGGTTCCTTGATGACCCATTTTCCGGTGTCCTTATCAAAGGAATGTAAAGAACAAATGAAATCGCCACCACGACTAACCAACGTAGTGATCGTGGAGTTGGAGGGTTCTTCGGATGACCCTTGAGTCAAAGTGGGGTATATACCCTCCTTCTTCCAAGTTTGCCTCCATTCACCAAATGTCTTGGCCCCCGTACGATGGCGGTACTCCTTCTGCAATGCATTTGCCTTGTTTTTCTCTCAAAGTTCCTACATAAATAGAAATGTTAGCATCATTACTACAAAAAGAGTCAATATATTATACAATTCTCATTAGATTTAGTAGTTCTTGCAATTTCTTTGGGTCGAGTTTTTTTGAATAACAAAGTCTTTCCACTCGTCCTCCGTCACGCTTGGCCATTTTTTTCACGGTGGGTCTTGTTCCTCAACATCTTCCTCATTTCCACCTTCACCATCATTCCCCTTGGAAGCTTTCTTCTTGTGTTTCTTCTTCTTATAGATCCATCCACTAGTCAAATGGGTCTTGAAGCCTCTAAATCTCTCCGCTAGTAAAGAATCAAACACCCTTCTCTTCTCGGGATCATTAGGAATATTAAACAGCTTCTGCAATCACAAATACAAGCAATTATTATTTTCCATTTACAAACAACCATTAGGTGAAATTATTTGTAATTGTGTAAATGTGTATTTGAACAAAACACTTTCCATGGTATCATCCCAAAATGTTTGAATCAAGCCTGGAGGTACTTGCTTCCAACAAAGTGTAATGGGGATTTTGCCTAACATATGCCAACTTGGTTTGCATATTTCCGAATCCATTGGCCAGTAGGTTGGCCTCTTTTATCATACTCCAGCAGCATGGGACTGGTTGGCTTCTTAAAACTTGTTGTCGGACCCCTAGCCTTTCTCTTAGCTGGTGCCTTTACCCCCACTCCACCACATGTGTTCAATTGCTCCTGTCCTTGTCTTTGAGTTTGAGGAGTAGTGTTCTCACCAACAATCTCAACAATTGTAGAATCAATAGGAGGCGCACATTCAGCTGAAATTTCAAATTCATCAAGCCTGTGCTCAAAAGCATCTTGTTCCTGATCTTCTGGCTCACCCAAATCAGTCTCCTTATTGACATCATATTGCTCATCCTTGTCCTCATTCTCACCCTCATAGCCATCATCATCATCCTCCAAATCCTCTACTAGTGGGTCATAATCGTCCTCCATGAGTTGTAAACACCTGTCATTACAAACATAACACGATATTAGGTCCATAAGAGATAAAAATGTTGACATATAGGTCATAATACATGTTAGCATATAAAATATTAAATTCTATCATTTTTGACGCATTTTGACGTAACTTGTTATTTTCTAGTACCGTTAACACTAAAAAAATTAAATTCTATCATAATATGTCAATTTTGAGATATACTTCATTCATTAACAAGAATTTTTGAAAATTTAGCAACTAAGATAACAATATCATTCATTTTCCCTAAAACTATTCATAAAATTACCTAACTTCTGATTAAATTTAATAATACTTTTAATTGCTTACAATTTCAAATTAACTGTTATAGTACCTCATTCTAATATTCCTTCGTTGTGGTCTGACCGCATATAACATGTCTGGTCGTCTATGTCATTTGATGCAATAGGTCTAGGAACAGTGAAAGGTGCTGAATCATCAAACGCATCGTATTCTTCCTCATCTTCAACATCTCCAATGCCTAGGATTCTTCTTTTCCCAGCTAGCACAATGGACCATTTTTAATCGACTGGGTCAGTTACATAGAACACTTGCTTAGCTTGAGATGCTAGGATGAACGGTACCGCACTATCATTCAAGTGCCCAAGATATACAAGAGTAAAGTCATCATACTTGACATTACGCCTGATATTATCAACCCACTTACATTTGAAAAGAGCAACCGTGAAGTTACAATAATCAAGCTCCCATATTTCTTGAATTCGACCGTAGTATGACAATTTTGCATCGACATGTTATTTATCCTTAGCACTTGCAAACTCCCTTGACGATGCCACAATCGTTACTCCACTTTTTTGGGTCGACGAAGATTTCAAATCCCGACCCTCTGTCTAAAAAGTGTACCCATTGATGTCATATCCCTCAAATGAGCGAACATCATCCCTAGGACCGTAAGCAAGCCACCTTACTGTATCGGTGACACTATCAACCAAGAGACTCATCACTCGTTCACTAAACCAACTCACAAACCTCTTATTATGCAACTGCATTAGTGCCCTTTCACCTTTCGATGGAAATTCATCACGCATACTAGCCATGTGCTCATCTAAATATGGGTGAACATCTGCAACATGGTGCAACACATAAAGGTGTGCTTGTAAGAACTGATCTCGATCCGGTGACATTCGTTTCGACCCAATTGTGCCATGACCATCCAGTCTCCCTTCATGTCGAGAAGCAGGAAGACCAATAGGTTCAGCAACAGCTAAATAGTCGGCCACAAAATTACCAATCTCCTCACTCACGGTCCCTTGAATCATGCTTCCTTCCGGATGAGCCGGATTCCTTACTTTATCTTGCAATGTGCCCATGTGTCTTTCAAAAGGATAGCACCACCTCAAGAAAACTGGACCGCACAACTTAATCTCACGCACCAAATGAAGAATGAGATGCACCATTATGTCAAAAAATGAGGGTGGGAAATACATCTCAAATTTGCACAAAGTCACAGCCACATCCGTTTGCAAAGCATCAAGTGTACAAGGATCAAGCACTTTGCTGCATATTGTATTGAAAAAACAAACATAGGCTTGTAATAGCTTCCCTCACGTGCTTCGGTAAAATACCACGTATTGCAATCGGTAGAAATACTTGCATCAACATGTGACAATCATGGGATTTCATACTTGTCAGCTTCAGTT